CCGGGGGCGCGGGGCGAGCGGCGCGGCCGGTGGTGGACTCTGCAGCGGTGACTCTCTGCGGGCTTGGGGTGAGCTCGGTGGTAGGTGGGGAGCCCCGTAACTCCTGACACACTTCTGTTGGAAAGGATTTTACTACTTTCTTCATTTAAAAATTTACTGAAACAAACGGGCTGACTTAAAAAAGAGGCCGGTTTAAGTATTTATGTGTTCTCAATATTGCCCTACTGGCCTGTATCTTTAACATAGGTGACCCACTAGATGCCTCTCGCAGCCATCACTTCTTGTACGAGGCTGTGTTGCTTTCGGGGGATAATGGAAGGTGTACCCAGGTTGCAGAAACTTCGTGGGATAATTGAGAATAAACACTAATTTCCATCCTAAACCAGTAAGAACAATGCAGTTTGCAAAGCATTTTGTGAACTCTTCCAAAGTTCATTTTACAAACAGCACAAGCAGAGTATTAGTACTAACCCACAGCAATAACTTTGCACTGAGGGTACACACGTACATACCCAAGAAATAAAGGAGGCAGAATACATCTGAGAGTTTGCTTGATGCAAAACTAACAGGATTTTCTAAAGCATGTGATTTTGTTAATAACATACTGCCTTGCTGTTTTAAGGACTGTGGTGATGGTTCATATCTCTTCATTACATACTGTGTTTGTTTGGACTCGAGGATTGCAGAGGTAGCACATACCCGCAGAACCGCTACTAGGCAGATATATTTCCTGAGAATTATATCGACTTCTGCTTCTTTCTCCCATTGCATTTAGTCCCAAGTCGTGCCAGATTGACTGGATATAGCAATGGTTGGCGCTGGTGCAGCTGGGAAATTTGGAGCCCTGCAGAGTGTTCTACCAGCCTGCAGTGGGGGGTCTGGTTTGGCTTGGTTTTTAACCACACCTTTTTTCAGCTATAACAGCTCTGCTGCGTGTGCGTATCTGCTAGTGTTGATCGTCATTAAACATGACATAAGAGAAAAATCCTCTTGCTCCCAACTGCTTTTAAGTAGGAGGTTTGAAACTCTGTTTGACGCCATGCTTTAGCCTAGTAATGGAGGCACTTCAAATGCTGGATCGATGCATCGTGTGCGAGTGCAAGCCTCTCTGATTCAGTTGCTCATTTTCCCTGCCTTAATAGGTGGTATCTTTATTGTACTGCCACTACCAACTCAAATATAGCCATGTACAATTTTATCCTTTATGTCATTTATGTCAATAGGGAATAGAAGCTGTCAGTTCTCTCTGGCCCAGATCTTCAGATGCATTTAGGTGCTTAAATGCCATTAAAATCAATGCTGCTGCTGTAAAAGAGTTGTTTATTTTCAGAGAAGAATAAACTGCCCACTGACACATACACAGCACATTGCAGGGTGGGCAGGTTGTATCCTGTGGGTCTGATTTCCCAAATCGGACAGGGCTACCTTAGGCTATCTGTGCCTGTTCCTTCTTTGTACTGTCTGCCCCACCGATGCTGTGGAGCAAGCCTATTGTGTGTATAGCAGGTACTGAACTGCACGTATTACAGCCTTCTGTATCCAAAGTAAAAGCAGGGATAGTTTACCTAAGTATGCCATGTTCCTTCCCAAGCAGCTGAGTTATACTTGCAACGGGAGCAGGGCAAGTACCTAGAGTCCGAAGCAGCCATAGGCACCGCGATAAGCCACCGTCGTTTGTCACTGAGCCCCAATTAATCACTATTCTATAGATCTCAGCCTGAATCTGTGGGACTTGGATGCATGCAGTTAAGTGCCTTATTGGTTTGATGATCTGTGCATAGGACACACTGGGATAGTTTTAAGAAGAAACCTTTTTCATGGTAACTTCAGACCATGTAGTGTACTGTAATACCCTTCTATTGATAATATTCTCCTGTTAGAGTACGGCATTGTCTGAAGGCTTTTGTGACCCTTTGGGTTGGAGCTTGTCTCATTATGGTATTCTGGTAGATTAGCTTGATGAAGTGTTGCAGTAATTACAGTTAGACTTAGTTTTATTCGACTTCTTAATGCTCGAAAAGGGGAGCTCAGTAGCACTTGAGTTGCAAAAATAACAAAGGACAAAAACAAGTGGAGAGGAAGGCGATGAGATTAGAAATGTTAGCAGGAAACAAATGAATCCTGGAACAATTCAAATATTTTTAAAATGATAGTGTTGGAGATATAAAGGAGTGAAAATGAATACTGGATAAGTATGAACAATCGGAGAAACAAATCGAGAAAAGTAAATTCTTATTTTGGAGTGGCTATGGTATGGGGTACAGTGGTGAACTCAACATGGCTACTTCCACAAGTCCCGATCACTCAACCTAAATTTTGTGAACTTCTGGTTTGGGACAAATAAGTGATGAGATTGTTGAGGGAGACTTGTAGCTGTTCTTTTGTCATAAGTAGATTTTTAGGAACCAGCATCTGCAATTCACCACGTCTTAGAGGCTAACCCAAGAGTATGATCTGTATTATTGAGCATCTAAGTTCCAGAGAGGTGATAGAGGCAAGTCATAAGGAATGAAATGTATTCAAAGGCTGGGCAGTTCTCTGTATTCTGAGAAAATGGACTACTTTATATACCAAGTGGTCAAATAATTCAAGGAGAATCTTTCCATAAGACAGTTACATGCCTAGTGGCTGCAGCCATATCAATAGACTATATCAAAAAGCAGTCAGTGGATTGAGAACCTGAAAAATAATTTAAAAAGTAGTCAAGGTAGGGTGGCTGCCATCTTTTCCTTCACTAAAAAAATTCCTTGCAATGCCGTGTTTGGATGCATTGACCGACATTAGATTATTTTTTGGTCTATCTAGTGCACAGGGAAGAGAGTGTGCAGCAGGAAGTTTTGTTCCCACACAGTCTGTGTCTGTACCAGTGGCTCTGTGTGTTTGTTGGGGAAGTAAAGGCCAATGATACGGGCTGCTTCTGGGGAAGGAAGATGGTGAACATTTTCTGATGGTTATTTCTTCCTCACAGGAACTTTCCCATCCATAAAACTTCATTTAGGAAGTTTTTCTCATAGCAGGGGAGCAAAAATATTCCACGTTCTCTTCATTGCAGGC